TGATCCTTAAGGTCCCTTCCAACCCAAACCATTCTGTGATTCTCTGAACCTCTTTCAATAAACCAAACCCAGAAGGGGTGACATCCTTGTATGGACTTACTCTATTCTTTTCAAATAGAGTAAGGAAAAGGAAAATTCCATGAGAAAACACCTTGCAAAGCCTGTTCTTACACATGTGAAATTTTTTCAGGCATTTATTCCTTTACTCCCATTTTCCCCTCTTGCAGGAGGCACCAACAGCTGGAAGCTATAAAGGAAGACAACACCAAGAACTCCCCATCCTACTTTGCCACTATCCTGCACATCCTTTTTATGGGAAACCCATTATTTTGCCTGAGGTTTCCCCTACACAAAAAGGAAAAAAAAACCCTCAAGAGGAAGCACAAGACTCCTCTCCACCATTTCTGCCCAGAAACGAGCAGCACAAAGGGATCTTTAGGCAGCAAGAGGAGGCAGAGGATCCCTGATCGATGCCCAGGGGGTTCAAGGGGTCACAGAGGACCCAAGTCCCAGCAGATCCCCAGGTTTTCCAGTCATCTCCACAGAAGCAGGAGATGATTCTGCAGCAAATAAAGCTTTTTAAGCAGTGAATTCCAGAGGACAGAACGATGCCCTGTTCCATTTCTGAGAGATGCCAAAGCCCCATGGACACAGCAAAGGGTTTTCCAACCCTTCCACGACAGTTAGAACCCCCCAAATCCCCCCATATCCTTAAGCAGAGGAAATCCCTTCTCCAGCCAGACCTGCCACTGCAGCTGCCCTGGAAAGCCTCTGTCACCGAGGGAGGGACAGTTCCCTCAGCCAGCTTTGCTGTGGTCACTGACCTCAAATAACCACCCAGTGCTCTGGGCTGGGGCCCTGATGCACCAAATCCCTTCCTTCCCCCAAAACAAAGAACATTTCAGCTCAGAGCACCCAATACCAGAGAGAGGAAAACCAACGTGGCAATACTTTGATTTGGGTTTATAACCCTTGTTCCCTTTTCAAAGGTGAGACAGAAAAGAGCTGCAGAGACACAAAAGCCTCCCTCAGATGGAACCAGAGTCGGGCACCGAGGAAACACTTGCCAAGGACAGCAGAGCCAGGCACAGGGAACTACAGATCCCCTCAGTTCAGCCCCTGGCTGGGGGAACAGGCAGGTGGGCTCCAACCAGACATCCCAGATGGAACAGCTGCCATTTCCCAACAGCTGCCAGGAACCAGCTCATCCCCCTCCTGAGGGCTATTCACAGAAGGGAGGATGGGATCCCACCAGACACGCTCCAGGGGCATCAGCCCAACCCCTCACAGCAGCAGGAGCCCCATGAACGTGGAAAGAACCCCCTGTGCCAGTGCAAGGGGGTGCCAGAGACTCCCAAACCATCCAGAGCTCCAAGTGATGGCACCTGGATCCAACGGCACCGTCATTCCCTCTAACTCAGCCCTGACACAACGTTCCACTTGCTCCTTAAAAACCCCAACACCCTCCTCCCTGCCTCCCAAAAATCCCCTTCTCCAGCCCTCTGTCTCCAAGGGGCAGGGATTCCAGAGGCACTGAGCAGCCCGAGCTCCCAGGGGTCAGTGCACTGACCTGGGTGTGAGCACGGCCCCGGGAGCAGGGCTGGAGGCCTGGGGCAGTGTCTGCACCCCTCACCATGCCCGTGCTAAAAAACCTCCCAGACTACCTCAGAAAGATGTTTGAAGTGCAAGAAATAACTCTGCTTGGTGACAACCCATTTTAATAGGACAGATTTGTGGCTTAATGAGAACAGAACTACTGAAACAACACACAATATTAGAGATAAATGAGCATAAATAGAATAGACAGTAATTGCCCAGTTTACTTGTGAACTATGAATTCCTAATTAACTATGGTCTTCCACACCACTCCTAAAACCTCTTACTTTTTTAATTACACTCCAGAGACACAAAGAAGCCTCCAGTACTCATTACTTTCTAGAGACACAAAGAACTCTCCAATATTTGTCATTTTCTAGGGACACAAAGATCTCTCCAACATTAACGACTCATCTAATCCAGAGACAAGAACAATTGCAACTCTCTATAACTCCCTCCTTGCCCATTGTCCTTCTGGATCCTTGACCAAGCTTGGTGCTGCTCCTGGAATTCTCTCCAACTGGTCCCCAGTGTCCCTGGAGCTCCCAGAGCTGGACACACCAACTCCCACTGATGGCTTCAGCACAGAGATGGCCAAACACCCATTTTTAGGAGTATGAGCTGGACAAAAGTCACTTATAATCACCATGTCCCTCCCTGGAAAAGCCACACACCCACAGGAGGTTGAAAACAGACACGAGATGACCCAGAGTCCTTTCACTGCACATCCAGAAAGGAATCAACCCTTCCCTCTGGAGCATTAAGGCTAAATCTGGTAGCAGGAGCTGCCTCGTTTCCCACAACTAAAATTATGTTCCATTTTTAAAAAGGATTTTCACAGCAAAATCCTGAAATCCGCTTGCCTTGTAAAGATTTCTCCTTAGCCCAACTCTGACCACCTTCCAGAATCGACAGAAATGAGTATCTAAACTGTATAACCAATTTTAACAGAGGAGTTTTCCCTGCACACAAAAAGGAAGCTCCATCCCTGCCTGGGCCAGGATGCAGGAACAGCCCCGGGGGTGGGTTGTGGCCCCATCCAGCCCAGCCCAGGGGTCAGGGAGGTGCTGGATCCCCCGCAGAGCAGCAGGATTGAGCCCGTTCCCAAGGTGTGCTGTGCTCCCGGGGGGCTCAGTCCCGGGAATCAAACACAACAACGCGGCTCCTCCGCGGTTTGGAGCAGCAGCAAAACGGCTCCAGAACAGAGCCCAACTCCTGAAATCTCCTGTTCCATTTCCTCCTCCACACAAAGAGCTCGAGCTGCTGGTTCAAGCTGCAGCTCCGACCGTCTGTGGCTGCTGGAAGGAGCTGGAAGGACCGGAAAAACACACCTGAGCCTGCGCTGCTTCCAGCCCAGTTCACATTCCCGGCTCGGATTCCAGCTCGGGGCACACAAAGAACCCAACCCACAGCCACGAGAAAGCTCATCCGAGGGCCGCTGACACCGGACACGTCGAGGAGCGGCGGGATGGCCCCAAACCCGGGTAAATCCCGAGATTAAGGCACCTTTAGGCTGCCCAGCATCCCCTCGGATCCAGCCAAAGCTCCTCCGGGATCGCTACACCGCGCTGTAAACACGCCGGGAAGTTACGTCGGGTGGGTTTTCAAGGCTCGGGTGTTGAAATGAAGTTACAAAATCATCACATGGGGAAAAAAAACCAACCCAACAAACACTCAAAGAAAGCGAAGGGACAGCGCACGAAGTGCGCGAGGGAGGAAGAGCAGCCCGAGGGCAGCGGAGCGAGCGGTGCCGCTCCCGCACCGCCAGCCCG